TAACTTGAAGTGGATCAAAGAGACAAGCTGAAGAAAGATGAGCACCAAGTAACAATTTCAGTTTTTGTAGATCATAAGCAACTGTTTTACAGATGCACAGTGCCTGACAGTCCACAGTGGGATCTGCAAGTGGACAGATATGGTCCTGGAAGCTGTTGGATGAAGCCCCCTTGTTCAGTGTCATAAGAAAGATGGGATCTTTTCAAGAAAATTGCATTTTTATTTAAAGGGAAGTGTACTTGCTAGTCTAAGAAAAATAGCAAGATCTTCTGGTGCTGTACACATTCAGAAGTAATACTTTTTTCTTTTTTGCTGTGCACAGTAATTTTTTTTTAAAAAAAAAAGTACTGGGACAATTTTCTCATCCATTCCCTCTTCTTTTTCTTTCTCTCTTTATAAAAATGCTATCAGAAGAGCAGCCAAGATATTTTTCAGTCTGTTGCTCATGGGTTTTTCATTGCTTTTTTCGTTCTCACATTGCTTGCCCAATACAGCAGCTGGGGAAGGCTATTGGTGTAGCATTTTATTAATAATATTTCTCCAGGAAATTGATGCATTGACTGTTTCTAACCTCAGGCAGAAGAAGGTTCAAGCCCAATCCATATTCAATTGCATATGGCATCTTTTTCTACTTTCAGGTGCCTTTATATCCTTTGATATTTCACTGATTTTTTTCCTTTATATTGTTGTCTGTCACAGTCTTCTACCCTTTGTGATATCATGGGACCTTCCTTTTTTTTTTTTTTTTAGACTGTATGTTTGTACAATTAAGAATTATATTGAGCAAGTTTTCATGTTGAACCTGGGAGCCTACAGTGTTTTGTTCATTCCTTCAGTAAGTGTGTGTTGGTGTATCTCTGGTGTAGCTCTGGATGGATTCTCACTGGAACAATTAAGGGCTGTTCTATACATCACACACTGTAATTTCCTAATCATGAGCTAAACTCGTTTTTGTACAATTTGAAAAATTTTTTTCATTATATAGTTACACAGCAAAATGGCCCTAAATTAATATAGCTGGATGATCTAAGCCCAGGGTCTGTTGCAGCACAGTTTTCTCACAGCTTGGAAGAAAACAGCCAGTATAACCACTGCAGAAATAGGTGATCATTCTTTCATTCTCTTTCTTTCTGCCTGTCTTTTTCCAGGGAACTGAGTAGAAGAAGAGACTTAAAGTTTTAATTTTCTAGGTAATTAGGAGAAGTAGATCATATAAGGTGGAAAGGAAAGTCAATAAACCACGTGGTCCTCAATAGGTCACACTTGCAGTCAGGATATCAGTGTGAGGACAGGAAATCCTTAAAGTGTCATTTTAGTTGCTAATTTAATCCATAAATCAGGAAAAAAAAAAAAAAGTGCTTTTGATTCATACACCTGTAAGAATATTTCAGTGGGGCTGTGAATTGCACCAAAGACATGAACATACTGACAAGAGGCTTGTTTGTCTTAATACCTTTTCTCAGCACCTTCAAAGTTACCTATGGTATTCCTGGAGGCTGAGAAGACAAGGCTTCAAAATCTCTAAAAGAGAGAGACTCTATGTTGTATAAACAGAGACATGTGAGCTCCAAATTGAACTTAATGGGCTAAGTTATCAACTACTTTGAATGACAGGCAGTCCAACACCCAGCACATTGGTCTTGGAGGTACTAAGTTCAGACCAATGACAGATCTGACCCTCGGATTTGTCCATTTTCACATTGGAGAAAAATGTATATTGAATTAGAAAGTGCACATCCTCCTCCTTGGTGGCCACCACCATGCAGCTAAATATTTGCTTTTTAAATTCGGGGGAGGAGAGGAGAAACAAGCTAATCTCATAAAGGTTCACCCCACCCTCTGCTTGGCTTCTCTTCCTTGGCAAGCCTTCCCAGCACCAGCTGGCTGACTGTTTTTCTTCTGCAACTGTGTGCATGACATTTCCTGCAACTAGGTTTTCCTGAAGTTTTCCAGCAGTGCTTTCAGCCTTCCCCCCCTCCCCCTTTTTTGGCCTCTTCACCCAGTAACAATGGCTTTGTGCCTAGTTCCCAGAAGTGTAAGTACCATATCCCCATCACACATTTGTGCATGTCCTTTGTATGATCTCAACACATACAGTGAGTTTCTAGGGTTTGCCAGTGGTCAGTGGAAGGGTTGTTGAACAGCCATGATATCAACAGCCCTTCCTCAAGATACCTGCTCCTCAGACAGAGTTTACACTGTTTCTCAATGACAAGAGGTTGCTTTCCTCTTTTAATGTACTTCTTTTCTGAAGAAGCTGCATGTACCCCTCTCTGTGCAGAAGGACTGATTGAAAAGAATCTAGATTAGGGAGAACCAATGCACAGATCCTGGATTACTTGGTGTTCCGGTGCTTTCCCTCCCCACACTACTGAAAGCTGCATAAACTGTCCTTTTCTAAACACTCAAGTAGCTTAATCCTGTAGTGTAAAAGACTGCTTTATATTTAGTTTTCTGTTATCAATGTCATTAAATCAATATCTTCAGTGCTTCAAGATCCAAGTCACATATAAAATTTCACACACAATTTAACTTAAGAAATGTAGTACAGAGGTACAGTCAGTTAATTTTTCATAGATTAGAGCATACTTTGAAGTAAAGCTGTTGAAGATCAAAGAGGGTTTATTCCTCATTGTAGGCAATTTCTTATATGTTGGGGGGCTTTCTATTCTAAAGACGATTTTGTTGCAGAACTTCATTGGAGTCTGAGAAAACAGAAGTTTTATGCAGTTGTCATAAATGGCACTGAAAAGTCTTGTGAGGCCCATGTCATGTGTGTTAAAACATGGGACATGTTTTTTAGAAGAAGTCAATAGGCAAATTGACATGGACACTTCTTGTATATGCATTATTTATCCTTTTTCCGAAGGAATTCTGGACAGCCCAGAGACTATATGGCCTCACTTGGTGTAGTTCTTTGTCTAGTGAGTGACATCTGTGTTTAGAGTTAAAGATGGAGAAAAACAATGATTTGCCCCTTGCCAAAAATACTTAATTGAGGGTAAAACATATCTAGGATTTATTTATGTAAAAAGATACACAGCTGAAGTACTCCATCTTCTTCCAACCTGATTCTGTGGTACCCTTTCTGCTTTGTGTATTAAGAATCAAGATTTGCCTAGAGATATGTTACAAATAACATATGAGAAATGAGAGTTATCACACAGTCTGAGTGGTTATTACAGCAGGTTTTTTGTTGTGTTTTGTGTTTGGGGTTTTTTTGTGTGTTTTTTTGTTTGTTTTTGTTTGGGTTTTTTTTTGCCAGATTGTCTATCACAGAAGTGGAGTAATTTTAATACAAACTGAGTATAGATTCTTTCAGTTGCTTACTTCAGGAGAGCCATAGACATGATGGACATACGGTTATATAGCATAATGGGCAAACATTATGCTACATGCCCTTGCTGCTGGTAAAATAGAATGAACTCTGCTAACAAAATTCTGAATTAAGCTGTGGAAAGCAGTTTTCCAGCAGTGGGTTACGGATCATTAGTATTCTGCAGTTTCTGAACTAGTGCTCTTCAAGAATATTCTTGTGCCGTTATAATTTCCCAGTGTGGCATGCTTGTGAGGTTTTACTGTTTGCTTTGCTCCCTTTGTGGTAAAAGGCTACAGGTTGTCACCAGAGTTTCAAAAGGGTCAACAGAGACCCTCAGTGTTGAAATGGAAGTCTTTCCTCTTCACAAAGCTGTGCTTCTGTGAGTGCCTGACCTGCAGCCTCCACTGTTTCTTTGGTGAAGGCTTAGCAAAAAAAAGTTAAGTCAAGTAACTACAAATTTTGTCCAGGAGTGTTGCTCAAGCAGATAAGAAAATTCCATTTTTGTTATCCAGATATTAGAAGAAGCAAATAGCCTTATCTACAGCATAGCTACTTGACATGTGTGGAAATTCAGGATGAACGTGTGGATGTCCTGGGTCAGGCAAAAATGTTTTATTATCACTGGTAGGGAGGGAACTGTGCTACCTTGTGCCTGACACTCATTGGACTTGTGGGAGAGAAGGAACATTGCATCAAGGACTTCTTGTACTTGGTTGAGTTTCAGCATGATGAGGCACTGGAGTTTTTTCCCTTCTTTCTCTAAAACTAGAAAAGCAATACTTGGTTATCTTTCAGCTTGACAGCCAAATAGTGTTGCAATAATCCTGTTGCTGTTAATTCACCAGTGATTTCTTTATGTTGAAGACTCTTGTAATTAAAAAATTGCCTTGTAGAGTCTAACACAATGTGGACTTTGGGGATTTATGTATTAAAGAGGGTTGAATGGGTCCTGGAAATCCTCTAGTTTTCATATTTTTTCTATAACAAAATATTACTTCACTCCAATATAATTTGAGTTATTTTGTCATGAAACTGGTGTAACAGAGTGGAGAATGGGATCTCAAAGCTTCCTGAATGGAGGAGATTGAATTAGTTGTTAAATCTGTTTATGGAAGATAGAAATTATGTTATTATAAAGCTAAGGTGTGTTAAAATAAAATCTTGAGTTATGGTATTGCTCTTTCAGTTTGATTGTATGTTTTAAAATAATCACTGTTGTGGAATGAAAATGTCTGTGATTTGGTCATTGTAATGCACATATTTCAGTGTTATTTTTCCTCAAATGTGAGATTTTTATTACCCAATGAGAACAAAACCCAACTAAGCCAAATATATGCTGAAGAATAACATCCCAATCCTGCAAAAATTAACATATATTATGGTGTTTATATGCAACAAATAATCCTAGTTTGCTGTTTAATTTAAAGGGGACACAGATTTCTCACTCAAAGTGACATAAGTTTAATGCCAGTATGTATAATTAAGACTGAACACCAGCCTTTGCCTGTTTAGAGTTTGTGTGAAAGCTATGAAGACTGACAAAAATGGCTTTCACTTCTGGTGTGTTAATCTAGAGTAACTCTAATGAAGTTATTGTAGCAATGTGTATTTAAAGTAGTTAAATAGCAGAATTCAGTCCTTTTTAAGCATTCCTTCAGAGTTCATATTTTCTTTCTTGCAGACGCCCAGACAGTACAGCCAAGCACTAAATAAGAGTAACAGAGTTCATCTTTATTGTGCATTTCTGGACTACAGGTATGTCACATAATTTCAATTTTTTTAACTTGGTTTAAATAAATTCCACTTAGTTTGTGATGCTATATATTGCCTATATCCTTCTTTCATTCATGGAGATAGTTACAGAAATTAAGCTATTGGTTTACAGAACCCACAATCTGACAGTGACTTCTTACCATAAATAGGAGACTTGTTAATCACAGACTCCATGTGAGGTAGGTAACTGAGAGACTGAAAATTTTTGCAATCAAAATTGCAGGCTGATACAAATCATGCTTATCTTGGTTTATGACTCTGTCCAGTTGGGCAGATGCTTGAATGTTTTAAGATGGCAAACCTCCAGCAGAGCCATTGTTTTCACTGGATGTGTCACAACATCATGTGAGATCAATATTTCAGAGCTGTGAATTTTGAACAATGCTTGGAATGGAGAAATGTTATGCCCCTGAACTCCAGTTACAATAGAAGAGAAATAACTATCACTTTAAAATTCACTCAGAAATAGGAACTCTTGAAAAGTAGTAACTATTTAATTTTTTTAACTATGAATATCTTTAATCTGTTTTTGATTTCCAAGCATGCTGCTCTTGCTGAATAAATGAATAAAGAATACAACTAATGTATTTTGAATTTCATGGGGATTAACAGTTTTTGAGCCACAATGGCATAAGCCTCATTGATGTAGCAATGGCCTGCAATGCTGTGGTCCCTCCTTTCCAGCATGCACATGGGAAGATGACTGGAATTGTTTTATTGAAGTTTTGTTTCAAGTATGTTGAATTGTCCCAGCTGTTGGCAGTTACTTGTCGTTATGGTTACTCACAAATTACAATAAATTAAAAACAGATTTCACTGAAGCAAATTAATATGGCTGGGACATTGTTCCTGTACTGCTTTCCACTGGGGCTTGGGTCCCTGAGGCTTTCCCTCAGGACAGAAACTGAACTACAAATCTGTCCTTCAAATGAGTTTCATTTGTATCTAGATGATCTTATTCCCTAGTGCATGGTAGTTTAAGAATAAGCAGTTTGTTTCTGACCTACAACATATTCTTTTTGAGAACTCAAGGACGTCCCAAAGGACAGAATGAGGGTGAGGTAATACCTATATTTAAAATGAGCACCAAGAAAAATACAGATCATAGAATCTAGCTTCAGAACCCAGAATAATATCAACAGTAATAAACGGTTAAGAAGCAGGAAATTTCAGTGGATGACCTATGGTGCCTGAGCTCATGGAGCCCCCCTTGATATGTGCCTGTGGCCTCTGTGTCCCCACTCTACTGCAGGGCTGTGGTAGCACAGGGCTTTCTGGGTTTCCCTGGCTCCAAGAAAAAGCAAACTCATGAGGATCACTTTCCTGTGCAGCCCTGGAACCTGGCCATAGCCAGACCAGCTGCAGCCTCATTGGTGTGGGAGCTGGTCTTGCTGCCCCTGAGGCTGAAGTGACAAAAAACAGTTGACATGGAAGGGTCACTAGAAATCATGCTCAATCAGAATTACTTTGATGGGATGAACAGGACAGTGGGTAAGGGAGAGGCAGCAGATACAATATGCTGAGTTTCTTTACTTTTGCAAGGTTATTGACTTGTCTGATCTTACAGTTCTCAGAATATAGAAATGTGGGTCTAGGTGAAATGTCATAAATGGCTTGCACAACAAAAGAAAAAATGTAGTTATTTTTCATTTGTTATAAAATTGGGAAGAAATTGGGTCCTGTTCCCATCAATATTTTCTTACCTGTTTTCATGATGGAGTGGAGAAGACACTAGCAGTGCTTGTGGATCATCCAGCCTGAGATAGCTTTCAAACTTTTTATCTCCTGTATAGTGCAATGCATGTCAAATTAACTTGCCTAAGATGCACTTGGATAGAGATGACGTTGCATTTTTGTGTGCTTTGCAGCAATGGAACTGGTGTTTGGTCTAATGAAGGCTGCGTGCGTGCGAGTGGGGACCTCAACTACTCAGTGTGTCTCTGTAACCACCTCACTAACTTCGCCATTCTGATGCAAGTGGTGCCTCTGAAGGTGAGATTAAGCAAAGGAGTAAATCTGTCTGTTAAAAATGAAGCACAGATACATCAGTTGCAACCTCACGTCACGTCAGTAAGTGATTGGAACGGGGCTCATTTTTACCCAACCCTGATTTATACACATCTTGCTTTCTGGGATGTTATAATACTTCTTGACTCTATTTATTTCTTATAACTTTTGGGAACTGAAATGGCACATGAAATTAAACACATCTGTAGTAGGTGGGAATACTCTTTATTTTCATCCTTTTGGTATGATTTCTTAAAGTACTAGGCAGAAAAAGCACTTGAGGACACTGTACTGGATTTTTACTATTCATTTTCAAGACAGAGACAGCTGAGATGGAACTGTTTAAGGGTCTTGGTAACTAGATTTGTGGAATACGAACAGCCAAGTTTGAACTCTGTGTGAAGCAAGCTTTGCTGCCAGCTGGCCCCTGCCATTGTCTCTGCCAGCTTTCCAAGTGCCTCCTTGCTGCTGTTTCTTCATCTCATTGCCAAACAGGGGATTGTATAGAAGGAGCATGAGAAAAGCAATTATAACTTAGAGTTGAGAGTAAACCCTTTACGTATTGTTTTCTCAATGCTCAGTTCCTTTATCTGAAGAGTTATCAAGCAAGCCTATTTTCAGCTGGAATATGACGTATTCCCTAGTTACCCAGAACCTTATGCTTGCTATTCATACTCATCACTGGTTTCAGATGAAGCTTTGATGGCAAACACATTGCTCTCCTCACTAGACATTCTTCTCTTCATGATGCCTTGCTGTTTCCTCAGAGATGGAGCACAGTGTTTGCTCCTTGCAAGTGAAGTGCTAGTTTGTTTCTGCTGAACTCCCTCTCTAAAATTCAGCAACAGGCAAGGTTGACCCCATTCTAGATATTGGCAGACAAACAGCACTACCATGAGCATGAGAAATATGTTTTTACTTCTTTATTGGATGTGTTACAGCCAGGGAGAATCCAACAGAGATAGTGATGAAGCCCTGCTCCGGACAGCCCTCTGTTAATAAATAATGAATGTATAATATAAATTATTTACAAACCATACATTTAAAGAAATGTGTCCTAATCGTTTGTCCAATTTATACTCTCTGGCACATTCTCAGCTTTCTACAGACTCCATCCTAATACTATAAATTAAAATACTGAAGAAGGGCTTCAGCAGGACAGCAGGAGTCCTACTGTCACATTTATCACTGTGTGCTGCTAACAAGCAGTGTCCTCTGTGGTACAACTAGAGGGGTATTGTCAGCTCTGTTGGCATGGATGTATTGACTGTATGGCCATGTCCCAGGGTCCTGTTAATTGGTTTGAATGATGGATTTGCTCTTCATTTAGGCTTTGCCAAGACAGCTACTGCTGCAGAATGGGCTGCACGTGTTCGTGAGGGCAGCATAGAGGTTCCTGCAGATAGATACAGGAATCAGCTTTCAGTGTAAGGGAACTCTGATCTGGGTTATACCTCTGAGCAGTATCGAAGTCTTTTCAAGGAATGAATCATCCCAGGTTGCTGCTGAGAGTTCCTGTTTCAGCAACAATTTTAGCACAACTACTCACATGGTCATCCTGGTTAGATGGTGTAATGCCATCCAAGTCAAGGTAGAACAAGATGGTCTGCTATCCAAACAGCTTAATTAATACCCACAGCCCCTTGTACTAGTCTAACCATTTCAAGATGGCAGTAACTTTTTCAGATCTCCCAGTTTTTATCTAACTTACTATCTTTATAAATTGTACAGCACCTAATGATCCCAGCTGGTTTCAAAGTATCGTTTTTCTAGGAACACTTTGTACTGATAATAAAATGCAGCTGTGCCTGAAGAGTTTCCCATCTTGTAAGACAAAAGTAACATGGGAGAAATGTGCCATTATTAAGTCTGTTTGAAAGAGCAGTGTACAGGGATTTAGCTGGGGTTAAGGAGGGCATCCACCAATTAAATGACATTGAGATATTAGTCAATTTTCCACTGAGGAATAGTTCTGAAAGGTCTAACTTTCAAATAAACAGGTTTGAGACTGTCATGATTAATGAAATGCTGCAATAAGTTTTAATATTATGCAAGATTAGTAACTGGAAAACAGATATTTCATATCAAAGTCTTTAGAACCAAGCTTTCCTAAAAAGATCTGAAATGCAAAACTAGGAAAGGCTGGACATGACTGTCCAGTTCCTTACAGTCATTTAATGGTTCTATTTTCAATATATGAACAAAAAAAAGAAAAGAGTGTTTGTAAATTTTTGGCAGGGAAAGTGAAATGCTGAAATGTGAGAGGAGTATTTTCAGCACAGACTGCATATGTTCCTAGTGCAAATCCATGAGAATTCAAAATGCTTGCTGGAGGATCATGAAGGTTGGGTAGAAGATATGCATTAATTTCTAGCAACTTACATTCACCTAGAAACAGGGTTCATAGATAATATGAGACAAGAAAAAGAAAAGGTGATTGTGTATAAATCCCCACATTTGAACAGTTCTGTTTATATAGCTATTGTATATATGTGGCTGTATAAATAGAACTGGATGAAATTTTTCCACATGAACACCATTTTTGACAGATGTTTATTTTTTGTCTGTTTCTGTTTCTCACAAAAAGGGGTCTACTTTTCATGAAAAAAAAAAAAAAGTAAGTTGTTAGAAATTGCCTGAAAACTGGAAAGATTTTCATGAAAAGCTGTATTTTGGTACTAAAAAAGTGACTTCATGGAGATTCTACTTTGGATGCTTTATACTTCTGCCCTCCTATGGAAAGTAGCATTTCCCTTTCTCTCCATTGTACTGATAAATGTGGTTCTCAGGGTAGCACAAGCAGGCAGACATCCTCTTCAAGGGAACCACAACAACCTTTAACTTAATGCACCAGTCAGCAGAACTGTAAAATCAGTTCTGAATAGTTCCACTAGCCCTTGCAGAAAGGCAGACAGATGCACAGCAAACAATTAAAAAATAATAATAATAATAAAATAAAAATAAATGAAGAGGACATCAACAGTTCTGAAGAACTCTTGAGACTAGTTCAGTGTGATAAATGTTCTGGCTCTCTCAGCTCCTTTTCATTAGATTGGTGTTCTTTTCCTTAAAATACAAAAAAAACCACAAAACCAACCAAACCAAAAGCATAAGCTTTCCATTAATGAGATATTGCAGTTTTTTAGAGTTTGCTGTTTACAACCGAAACCTTTGACATACTCTCTGAGCTCAGACAAAGCCAAGGTGTCTCTAAGCAACAAATACTGAACAGAAGTGACCTTCCTCACAAGTCACCTGCCACATACTTGTGGTGAGCATTTCTAATGACCAGAGAGCTGAGTTTATATGGTAACCATTTGCCAAGGTTACCATCTCTTCTGCATTGTGCTAAATTTGAGCAAGAATCTCCTTGTTTAATCCCTTCCCTTTGTTCCTTCATGTGGTTAAGTCTGGCTATGTCTGCTTACAGAATGATCCAGCCCTTGTTAGCTCTGGTGCACTAAGAACTTGCTTCAGTGCCTCCCTTCCTGCTTACTGAGTAAATAACGTGGGAAGGAATTACAGTGTCTCACACAGATTTCATGTCATTTCAGTGAGACATTCATAGGAACAAAATTGTAGGGTATCTTGCACCTGATGATGCTTTCTCTTGAATGTTTGAAGTATTGTGAGCTGTGGAATGCTGACAAATTGTTACACATTTATGGAGGAGACTGTCATGTGGGTCTAATTTCCAGAGAGCATAGAAATGCAAGAAAGTTCTTAGGAACAAGCTGCAAAATCTTGATTTTTCTTCTTGATCTCTACTTAAACCAGGTTAGATTAATTCAATTACTATTCTACTGTATGCCAGCTGGAAGTAGGCTCCAGAGACTGAAATCTGCTGAGATGAAAAAGCATTTTTATTCCAGTGTTTCAGAGAAAGAAATTGTAAGCAAGAGGTCACAAAGGAATTTTTAAAATTCTGGAATTTTAATTTAAATAGGACAAAATGAACCTTTACTCCATGTGCTATACAGCAGTGTGTGAAGAAAAAGAACTCTGAATGCTGTGAACTAGCTAAAACCAAGCTGGGATTAGAAGCATAGTTGAACACTACTCCAGATTTTGCTTTAGTTTCAGCAAAAGCTTGAAAGCACCCAAGTCTCCGTGATTGTGAAAGAACATACAGACAATATTGCTGATTAACTTGAGACACATGGATGCAGTTTAGCTGTGTTTAGTGATGCAAGGGATTAGCAGTTGTAACAAGTTTATTTCAGGAATGAAATAACCATCTTGGAAAAACTGACAACCATGTGGTGCTCAGATGTCAGCCTGGCACTGACCTGTTAGCCTGCTGATGAATTGGCCCACATGGGATGCTGAAATTATTTGTTTTTATCACTCTGCTGTTACGTCTGTATCACTGGCTCAATTTAATGCTTGCTTGCTGAGATGCATTTCTCATCTTGTTTTTTAACTTGAGAAATGATAGCAGTTATTTGGAGTTTCGGAAATTAGTGATCATCAACTGGTTGAAATGAATCAATAAGTTAATTGAAAATAAAATGTGACCAAAGATAAGCAGAATGTTCCTGAAGGGACATCCCTTGATGGCCTTAATGAAGTTTCATGGATGTAATAAAGGTCAGTGCAGTATCAGAATTTGGGAACTCGGTCGAGAACTGTTTTCACAACTCTGATCAAGTTAGTAAGACTGAAGAGTTAACAATTGCATCTTCCCAACAAAACATGTCAGTGAGATGTTTAGAGCACCTGTACAGTTATTAACTACTTTGTGTACCCCTCCTCTAGGAAAATCATTGTTCTGATCAAGTTTCTCTTTCTGATGGGGGAGATTGAGGTGAAGTAAAAAAGTCCCTCATAACAAATCATTGCTAAAGCTGCACTCTTGGTGGTGCGTGTCTGTCTTTCTCCTTCCTTGATCCACAGAACAATGTTCCAGCTTTTGCTTCGTATGGTGAAGTCAGAACAAACCCCTCCTGCCAGCTGCCCTGCAATGTTATAGTTACAGAGACAAT